TCATTATGAATAGGAGAGTAAAAGTTAGTAAAAGAGGGAACAATATGCTAAAACAAATGTAAGTTTGGGTTTACAAATGTTATAGACTATTTATAAGAAAGCTTTCTAAATAAAATGAAAAACAGACCAAAATAAATGGACACACAAGAAATAATAAAAGGGGAAACAACAACAAAATTAAAATGTAAATGTAAAACAAAATTGTGTTTAAAAATGTACTCTTTATTTTAGGAAAGCCTTCTAAACAAAGTGACAGAGATATATTAAAATAAAATGACTTGTGTTTACACAAGAGAAAAGAAAATCAAAACTGGAAGTGATGACAATATTAATATCTGTCAACTAGAGTTCAATTCCAAATGAAGCAGCAAAAGAGGGAAAAGCACTCAGGAAAAGTGTCATCCACAGAGGAGACAAAGCAAGCATCATCTTTCACTGGATGACATAGGAATCGATTTACAAATCAAAATTCCTAGAGGAGAGAAATCACACTCATACACAAAACCAGAGTGAAGTGTTCTTGAGATACAAAAATATATGCATTCATAAACATAGACATATGTGTACACATTGCTATGTCAGAGTATGGAAGTTCAATCACATAAAATAGAAAAAGAATATTCTTAATTTAGAATATTTGATTACTCATCCATCACCAAATTTGGCAATAAAGTATTATAACCTTTAAATCTAGAAATACGTATTTTTCCTTGCCAATGGAAGATCTACAAAATTTGATCTGCACTGGTTCACAAAGAAAACCTAAAATTTCTAAAATATTTTGAAAGGAATAATTCTTTAAAATAGTATAATTTATAAAATTTCTTGGCAATATATCATTTGAGTGACCTACTCTAATTCCCTCAAAAGATAACAAATTATAAGTTAAGAAACCTTTGTCCAAGTAAACCCTATAGGAAACCATTGAAAATGAAAATTATAGCTTTCTAGACTAAAATTCAAAACAGAAAGAAGCTAGGGGAAGAAAGGGAGATTAATTCACTTAAAAGTTATACTTTAAAAATAGTAAAAAGGTGAAATTATAGGAGAGAGTAGAAAGAGAGAAAAATCCAGAAAAAACTTTGTACATTAAAATTGGAATTTCAATTAGATGGGCAAAGAATACTTATTTTAATAAGTGACTCCTGTATAACTGACAGCAACAAAAAATACCAAAGTGTGCTTTCTTCATAATACATTAAAATAAATTCTGTATTAAATAAATAAATGTAAAAGGAAAATATTTAAAGAAACACTTAAAATGTACCTGCATAAGTTTTTGTTGTTGTGGGTTGTTTGCTTTGTTTTTTGGTACTAGGGATTGAACTCACTGCCTCATGCTTGCAAGGCAGGCACCATGCTGAGTTACACCCCTAGTCCTACGCATAAAATCTTAAAGTGGATAAGAGAGTCTTACATAGGACAGATTATATTATATAAATGAAATCTGACTTGAAGGAATTCATAACCTGGTACCACAAATAACATAAATATGTTAGTTTTGAGGTGAGGTGTGAGTGAACAACATGAGACCCCAGAGAGCAATTCAGTTCTTTCTGTGGCAGACATGGGGGAAGGGTTCCCAGAAGCAACACTACCTGAGCTTTTAAAGGGATGAAGGGGCTCCTTCTGGTGAAGATATGGGAAGACTGTTCCAGTACTAATGAAAAGGGCAATGTAATTGAAGTGTAGGATGAGTGATTGCAGAGGCTTCTGGAAAGGGACCAATTTGTGAAAAAGCTTATTTGCTAAGCTGAGGACTTTTAACTTAACTATACTTTCACTTTGTTGGCTTCTGAAGGTATGGGGATGGTCGCATCAACCCAAGAGAAAGGGACTCACTTGTAGGGTGAGGAAACATGGTGTGGCCAAGAGTAGTAATTGTGAATCTCGGTGTCTTTTCTCCTTCTTCTACTAACAGAATTTTAACTATAGTTTTACACCCAAACCTAAAGTAGACATTTCCCTGCCTCTCTTGCAGCTATGTGTAGCTGACAAGGTGTAGGCAGAAATGCTTCTTGAAACAGCCCAGAATGTCCTGTACAATTCATTCTTTGTCCAGGGGGTCACAGGATGTGATATTTGGACAGTGGGGACAAGTTAGAGTATGGAGGTCATCACAAAGGTATTGGTGGTTTCCTGGGGGTTGTGGGGACATACTCTGTGAGCAATACATCTGTTTCTGTCTTTTTGAAGCTATGCATACCAACCTTAATCCCACCTGCTAAGGACGAGTGCTAACATTATTGTACATGAGAAATCCTTGCATGGAAAAATCATGACTGAAAAAGGTGAGACAGAAATATAGTCTAGCAGACACCAAGAACCTAAGAAGATGTAAGGGGTAAAATGGGAACAAAACATGAACAGATGTTGAAAATAGCTGTGTAGAAAGAGGATTAACGCAGGACATTTAATTTTGTTACAAAGTCATTGTTGATATAAAGAAAGTAATTTTAACTGAGTGGTAAACTTACACAAGCCAAGTTAAAGTGAGTTTCTCAGGGAATGAGAGACAATGAGCCTGAATTTATGATTAATTTCAGGGGAACAAAATAAAACAACAGGTTAAATACCAGGTAAGGTGGAAAAGAGATACTTGATCCCTTTTCGCACAAATAAACTCTATCTCCCACCAACTGGCTATTGTTTATTAACTGAAAGTTTGCTTAATCCTTTGATAATAAACTCGAAATCTTAAAAATATTAGAAACAGTCACCCTTCCATTCATAGCTGGGCTTATCCTTTGCTGCAACCCAGTACGTTATTCTGAGAGCAAACATGTTCCAATTCCAACTCAAATTTAGCGGAGGGGTACATGTGTACATAAGTGGGTGGGAAGACATGACCCAAAACCTTGATGTTAAAAGAAATGACTTCTTATAATTCTGAAGAGGTTTTTATCCAATTATCCAAAGATTTAGAGGTATCGCATTTTTATCAAAGGTTTTAAAATCCACATTAGGAAATGCAAAATAATTTATGATTCATTAGTGAACTCTCCTCCTCATCCCTCTCCTCTGTTCCCAAGCCCTGTCCCCAGCTCTAACCCTCTTCTTCCTCCACTCCTGCCTGCCTTCTTCTCTCCCCTCCTTCTATCCATCTTTCTTCCACATTTTCTCTCTTCCCTTCTTCCTTTCCTCCCTCCCTCCCTTCTTCCCTTTCTTTCTGCCTTCCTTCCTACCTTCTTTCCCTCCTTCCTTTCTTCTATCTGTTACAGGTAACTGAGTTAGATAAAAATATTATAGGCAGTCAGATAGGATTGGGTCCTTGAAGGAGCCAGTGCAGAAGGCCAGATACCTTGCAATTGTGGGGGAGACATATCCCCTCCTGTGGGCCAGACCTCAAGACAAAAGATCAAGCAAATATACTTACATCCTAAGGATTGATATTCTAAATAGGTCTCTATCACCTTGAGGAAGCCAGGAGTCACCGTCCTAACTCCCTATGGGAAGAGTCACTGCCTGCTAAGAATGCCTGCTTTCTACACAACTTGCTTTCCCATTTGCCCCCAGTTTAATCAATTTTACCTGAGCAACTAATCTTATTGGTTGTGTTCCACCTTATGCCCACCTTGTGATTTCCCAGGTTTTCCTCAACTGGGACCTGTCTCACTTCACATGTGTATTCCATAAAATCCCGAGAAAAGACAGAGTCTTTGACAACCCACTCAAGACTCCTGTCTCTTTCCCAGACAGAAATTTGTTTCTCTCAATAAATATATTCTGCTCTTAACCTCTGTTGTTCCTAAATTCATTCTTTGATGTCAGAGAACATGAACTCGTATCGGACACTGGTAGGGGGAGAGTTCAGTTCTCCTGTATCACTTCCTTCCTATTTTCTTTCCTAGGATAAAAGATAAAATTACCTTGAGATGGAACCTGAATGAGCAAGGGTCATACGCAAGCTTCCTTGAGTTATTTTAATAAATATAGATTTCCAATGCAAGTAATTGTTACTAAGAACACTACGAATTAAATATTGGAGGCAGGAGCCAAGGCCACCATGATTAAAGATATAACTTGTTCAGAAAAATAATGACCAGTGTAAATGTGCTGCATGAATGAAAATAGAATAGGCCATATTCAGTGAGATGCCTGCAAACCATGATTTATTTTGATTAACAACAAATGTGGCATAGAATATAGTGTAAGGCTGGTATGCAAGTAATGCCAAATCAGAACTAGGAGGATGGTGAGGCAATGTGTAAACTCCATCTGTTTTTGGAACACTTGTAGGTTTTTGAGGATTTTAAAAGCATGTTTCTATGTGCTGGGAAAAAAACTTGAGTTCGCATTATGTTCTCTCCTGGAAAACTGAAAGGATGGTTCTCCACTTCTCTCAAGAAAAATGTTTTTTCTGCCTTCCTGGATTTGTTTGCTAACAGAAGAGATGAAAATAGTTTGTAAAATGTGAATTTCTCTATACAAGCCAATTGTTCAATTGAATAAGTTTTAACATAAAACGTGTGCTCCAGAACATGCAAACCAGCTGGGCATAGTGGCTCACTCCTGTGATTCCAGCACTCCAGAGGCTGAGGCAGGAGGATCATTGTGAGTTTGAGACCCGCCTGGGCTGCAAAGTGAGCTCAAGGCCAGCCTGAACTGCATAGCGAGTCTGTGTCTCAAAAAACCACACACACACACACACACACACACACACACACACACACACAATATGTAAAACAAACTTCCGCTCTTTTTTTTTTTCTTTTTTTGGTACCAAGAATTAAACTCAGGACCTTGAGTTTGCAAGGCTGAGCTACATCCCTGGCCCTTTCCTTTCTTTGTAACAGGCCTCTGACTATGGGTGCTGTGGAAGGAGAAGTTGGAAAGCCACACCCCACAGGACAGCAGAGAGTGGGACTGTCTCACTTCACATGTGTATTCTATAAAATCCCTGGAAAAGACAGAGTATTTTCTCTAACCCATCTCCCTCTACGTGACGCAATGCACGCATTTGTGGTAGCTTTATAAAACCTTTAAAACCCACAGAGCTATTTAAAGATAAAAATGTTCATATACTTTATTTTTCAAAGCACTGCTATACCTCAGTTCCATTTAGTTACAGTACAAAGAATAATAAAATAGCACCTGGCAATCTTTCAATAGGTTGTAAAGAACCTTAACTATGTGTCTTCATTTTTTGAAGGAGGCAGACAGAATCTTGCCCTCCCACTGCTTGCCCCTTAGGTTACCATTGGCCTTATTTTCATGCGGACAACCTTGAGGGAATAGTCTGTTCCTTTAAAGGGACCCCAGACCACCCCATTCTCAATCTCATAAGGGCTGTTTTCCCTGGGGTCATAGATGCCCCCAGAGTAGTAGATGCCATTGAGGTTGGCTGCCTGACAGTTGTTGTACCACCAGCCTCCTCCGTAGATTTCAGCACAGTTCTCTTCCCACTGGTCCGCATCTTTGTCAAAGGTACTAAACTGCATGCCGTTGTGAGAAGTGTATTCTTCCCCCTCCTCAGCAAAGCCCTCAATCAGGGCATCGCCAGCATTGCCCTGGTAGGAGGAGACCCTCAGGGCATAGCCTTCGGCCTCAGAGCCCACCCACACATGATACTCTGCAAAGGCCCCCTCCCCTGCCCAGTCCTCTAACTCAACCCTGAGGACCGAGCCCTTCCGCGTGAGTAAGTGGACACCGTCATTGCCTAGCCAGAACTCTCCTTCTCCCTGGTCATTCAGGCTGCCGAAACCTCTCTTGTAGTCTTGCCAGGTCCGGTTAAAATTCAGTGATCCATCCATTCTTTGCTGGATCAAAAGCCATCCTCCCAAACTGGTCTCTTGATCGCAATAAACAGAAAAAATCTTACTGGATCCTGGTGGCTTGACATTGAAAATGCCACTCTGGGCACCTGAAGGATGTGTTTGGAGGACATCGTGACAGTCTAAAAAAAAAATTAAGCTGGTTGGAGGAAGTTACTCTCATTTAGCTTTACAAAGACAGGCAGGGCGCGGATTTCAAAAGGCAGCTACTGCTCCCTGCCTCCCTTCCTTCTTTTCTATCTTCCTTTGCCCCTGAGAAAAGGATGCACCTTCCCTGAGCTATAATCTTCTGCAAATGAGGGCAAGTTAAATCTACAAAATGCAAATTTTCCTCAAATGGATTTGGAATTTTACTTGCACATACTCATACAAATAACTGTCAATAGTAGTTAATATTCATAGCATCAGTTCATATTAATACATCTTAGTTGTAGCCTGATCAAAATGTCAACTGAGACACACACTAAAAATATGATTACTTAATTGTATGACAATTCCAATAGCATGTAGTTTGACTGGTGGAAGAATTTGGTCAAGCCAACTAAAAACCGAATTTCAGAAGGATTCATTCATTCAACATGTTTTTATTGCACTGTGAGGAATACAGAAAGTCGCAAAAGACAAGAGTCCCTGCCCCAGTGGAACTTACAGTCTAGCATGAGAAAACAGCCCCCCCCAAAAGTGTCATTTCAATAAAGTGCAACAGAGGGTTAGGGAAGAAGAACAAGGTGCTTTTGGAGCACATTTAAGAAATAACTAGATTAGTTTTAGGGGGTCAGGTAAGGCTTCCCCAAGGGAGAAGTGTGGGTACCTCTGGAAAGACGAGTTTTAACAGGGCTTCTCTTGATGCTGTGGGTGTCTCCTTCATCCTTATAATCTTCTGCACCTCCAGCCTGGTCTGACATTTTCAAGCTCTTTCTCTCAAATGTGGAGCTTCCTGTACTGTACGACTTACTGCTACTCACTTGTTTCGTGTGGCTTGTACTCATGCCGGTGGAATACTCAGGGACGTCAAAGGTGTGAGAGCCAGTGTCCCCAGGGAAAAAGCCTGACTCTGTGCCCATTGACTGGGTCTTACTGCTGTACTCCTTCAAGGAAGTGGAGGGTAAGCTTGAGAACGACGTCACTTTCCCACTGGAGGATGTGTCAAAAAAAGAAGCTGCTCCAGGGTGTGTCCGGGCAAATTCATCGAGGCTGCTGTGGGCACTGAAGCCATGCAGCATGCCTAAATCTGGGCCACCGGCACAGTCGGCGGGATCTTCAGAGTTTACCACTTCTTTGGTCACCTTTTTGTGTCCATCAGGACCTACAACAGTCTTAGTGATGGTCTTGGTGCATGAATGACGCGTAGTGGTTGTGCCAGTAGAGGCAGAGGTGGCTTTGTCCTTCCCAATGGAGAGCTCCTTATCGCCTTTGATCAACTTCTCTGTGTGGTACTCCTTCCTCGTTCCTGAACTTAAACTCCCTGTTCCTTCCTCAAAATGACCCCAGTCTGGGTTGGCAGGCCTGGTGCTGCCATAGCCCGGGCTGTCTGGTTTAAAACTTCCAGAGGCAGAGTTTCCACTCTGAGTAGGCACATAGACTCCAGAACTCCAGTGCCCAGAGCCACCGGACGGAGAGCTTACTGGGCTCTGGTCACTTCCAGGTCCAGAGCTCCCAGGAATCCAGTGCCCAGAGCCACCAGATGGGGAGCTTCCTGGGCCCCGATTTCTATCACTTCCAGGTCCAGAGCCCCCAACAGTCCAGGGCCCAGAGCCAACAGGTACAGGCTTCCTGGGACTTTCAGTGTCTGACCCTGGCCCATAAGATGTCGAGTCCCCTCTGGCACTACCCTCTGTCCCAGGCCTCTCTAACTCCATTGTCATCTGCTGCATGTCCACTAAGGCCTTCCACTCTGGAGGGCCTTTCTGAAGCTGGCTCCTGAAAGTGGGAGGAACCAAGTCTGTCATCGGCATGAGTTTCATCTTCAGCCGTGGTAAGAACTGCCTGTCTCTGGAGGGAAACAGCTCTTTGGCAGTGACCTGTTCCAGCTGCTTCTGCTGCTCCTCATAGTCCCTCAGATTCACCTCACGAGACAAAGCCCTGCTGCAGGACCCTTTGCAAGATCGGATCTTAATGTCAATGTCCACCTAAGGAGAGAAAGGACAAAGATAGAGAGAAAGAGGGAGGCTGTGTGCATGGAGCTCCTGGCAGTTCATTTCTGCTTTGGAGCTGGTTGCATGTCTTTGGCTTCCAGTCCTACCCGGGGGTTCTCTGTTCTCCACTTACAGAATATCCTCTGAGGAAGACACACGGGGCATGAAGGCCAGGATATGGAATATTTGGATTCATCTTAGGCCTACAATGGTTCGCAATAAGCTGTTACTTCCTCTGAAAGGAAGCTTTAATGCAGGGATCCTCGATGAGGCTGACGCTGAGGTCTCAGGCCTGTGATATTACGGGCTTTGGAATTCATCTAAGGCTGGGCTTTTTGCTGTTGAAATTTACTATTTAGATAGCCTTGAAAATTTTATTGAAGTCTCTTGACTTTTTTCTTCACTTGGAGAGTGGGGAAGTCAGTCGTCCCTATCCTTCAGGAGATAATGGATATAGCAGTTTTCTCGGCTAGAGACCCTGTGTGTGACCAAGGCTTTCCTTCCCAGTATTCAAACACAAAGGAATGGGAGGTCCAGGGCACGCGCTCCTTACCTCCAGGCGCTTCATGTCTATCAGCTGGGCCCTGACGTTGCTCTGCAGGAGCTGGATTTGCTGTGCTTTCTCAATGACTTTGCGCCTCAGAGTCTCAATTCTGCTTCTCACATCTTCTGATACCTGGTTGTATGTGTTGTCATGGTCTGTAACAGACATCACAGATGGTGAGTGCTGCTGAGCGATTTGCAATATCCAGCCCACCCCCAAAAGAAATGTTCTGGTAAATATTCCCACATCTTATTGGGGTTACAGTATGTTTTCCAGACATTTAATCTGTGAGTTTCAAGCTTTTAAGCAGTTTCTTTTGGACAATGTTACATGCCCCAAACATCCACGGTTGTCAGTTAGGATGCTCTGGTAGTAATTAGCAATGCAAATACTTAGGATATTTTAAAAAATGATAAGGATATAAAATAACTAGTTTGACCACATTCTAATTTTTTCAGTACACCTTCAGTCAAGGAATTTGAATACACACATGCGCACACACACAAATATACACACTGTGATTTCCACCAGCAGATTTGAAGTTGTTCCCAAACTTTCACGGAGTCACCAGGGTCACTCACTTGCCAGGGGACACTGTATCACTGGCATTACAGTCAAGTGTATCCTTAAGATTGAATGAAGCAAAGCATGGCTGTAGGGACCAGCAGTTCCCTGGACTCATTGTTGAAGTCCAGAGTAAATGCAGTGTTTCCTGTCCCTAAAGAGAGTCCTCTGAGAAAGACAGAGCACAGCTTTGTATCAAAACAAAACCCTTCAGATTTACATATCAGCTCAGTGGAGTCTGAGAGTTGGGCTCCCAGATCTGTGGCCAATGACTTCTGAATTACCTTACCAAAAATATCTGCTCAAATGTTCCAGCCCACCTTATTTCCAATATCTACTTTTGAAGGAAAAACATGCTTAGACTTTTGCCTTCCATCTCAAAATCTGACATATTTTGCTATCTTAAATTGGCTAAACTAACTCTTCTGCATTATGAACATGATTTAAAAAAAAACTTTCCTTAAAATTCAGGAATATCACAGTGACATGTGTTTCTACACTAAGTACTTTGGAATAAATCGTGGTAGCTATAGGTAGACATCATTGTTCAGGATTTGTGCTGTTGTTTTTGCCAGAAATCAAAACTCTGCTATTTAATACTTACTGTTATCTTTGGAAAGCTTCCCTCTCAAAATCTCCATTATGTTCCTGTATGTACTAGAATCTTTATTATTCTTTTGATAATTAAATAGTGAGTCTTTCAGCTTTTTTATTCTATTTGTAAAATCTTGATTGACTTCATCAATTAATCCTTGCATCCTGCATCCAGAAGGGCATCTGAGATTCTAAAATAGAGAAGAAATCACACAGAGAGTCTATCTTTTAGATCCAAAGCAATATTTCAAGTTTCCATGTTTCCCACTGCTTCCTTATCCCATTTCTTCTGATCATCTATTGGTTTAAAAATAGCTCAGAGGACTACTTAATGGTTATACAGAAATTTGGACATCTATTTAATAGATCTATTTGATCTATTTAAACCCAAATTAGATCCCACGAAAGCTGAGAGCAACAGTACCCAGGTGCTTAAGGCTCACATGCACCTAAAACCCAGCCTGTCGATGCAGAGTTGGGATGGAGTAAGCAGTGCTGGGGAAGAGGTTCCTTTACATTTGTTGTACTTAGCAAGAAAGGAGCTAGATCCTTGCTCGCTTTTTTATTGGGGAAGTTTTCTAGGGTCGTCCTGTAAGGCTGCTTGAAGTCCTTAGAGATGACTTTCCTGCTCCCCACACATGACCTACCCAGTCGTCATCGGAACAGAAGGGCCAGCCAGTTTCTTTGCAGACAGACTGCTGTTTCTCCGTGAGTCTTGGGCCACGCACGCCTCCTCCGGCTGCTTCAAATTCTGTATCAGTGGTGCCTGTGATCTTTAAACACACACACACACACACACACACACACACACACATACACACAAGTAGAATCAATAAGTTAGTCAAGAGAAGAGACATTGCCCTGCTAAGTCCCAATAAATAAATGGTCCTCCCATGGAAATGACAAGGGGCAGCATCAGGGCCCCCAGAAGCTTCAGGTTTCCTACTATCAGTAAAAGCCCTGATCCCGTTGTAGAAACTCAGAAGGACTAAAGGAAATAAAGTGCATGCATTTTTAAGTGCGTAAGCATCTGATCAATGTTAGTAGTTTTATTGGCTCATGATAAAAGGAATACGACTTGAATCAATGAAATGACTTAAATTTTGCTTTTTCATTTTAGCTAATGACTGTAGGGGGAAAGGTAACTGAACATCTGGAAGGGTTCTTTCCCCTGTAACTCCTGATTTGGTAGGCAGAAGCCTAGACTGCTTTAACTTTCCGTCCTTTCTTCTGCAAACCTCCACCCTCCCCTCCGGGATGGGTCCGTGCTTCCGGTAGGCATTTATCAAGGACAGGAACCTGGCCAGTTAAGATTTGGAAATGCTGTTTAGGTTATTCATTGATACAATAAGTTCAATTCATTTGAGATGAAAAATACACAACTGAAAGTAAAGATAATAGTGACTGGCAATTTTTTGAAGCACCTTATCATTAGAAATATTCAGAGTTAAACTTTTTCTGTTGTGAATCAGATGTAATAATACACAAGAAAAATTTCCAACAAGAACTCATGTCCTACTAAATGAAGGTAGCTTTTAGATTTTCACTACTTTTATTCTCCATTATCCATTGTTAAGAATTTTCTGTGGTTACTTTACTTTGGGGTAGTGTATTCTACTTTAATGTGGGGTAGTTTATTTGCAGTGTTATTTAAAAATAATTCAGACGACAATAATGCTAATTCAAGGAACCCAGAACAATTTGTTTAAAGGACTAAATGCAATTATTCTGTCTAAACAATATAATAATAAACTTAAACATGTTTCACAATAAAATGTTACAACACTGAAAACAGGCAAAAAATGAATATTTAAACAATAAAGGAGAGAGGATAAATGAATGAAAATATGTTCATTATTCAAAATATGTCTGTAACAAATGATTTAGTTTCTCCTCCCAAAAAAGTAGTGTTAGTAGTTTACTATATGGAGAGAATTACATCTTTACCATTTGATATTAGGATTTGTTAGTAATGGCTGAAGAAATAAGTTGAAATCCTATGTCTTGCATAACTAACTAGATGAAAACAGAGTTTCCTGGATAGATGCCATTTGTATAAAGTTAGAGTGGTGCAGAAGCCTTGTTGAATGAGATTTCATTTTTATATCAGTCTCGAGCTAAATTATAAATATCCACATTTAGAAGTTATCTTAAAAGAACACATTTCCAAAAATCATACTGCCCTATTACCTAATCTCTTCTGGTTTTGCTGTATGTTTCCAAAAACAACTCATGTGCTTTTTTCCTTTTGGCTTTGAAACAAACCCCACAGAACAACCTCTTAGACAAGTTGTACTAAAACTAATCCTTTTGAACAAATGGCAAGAAATTAAAAATCAGAAGGAAAGATCATTTTATAAAATGTTTTCTTCTGTTGACTAGCATAATAACTCAAGAATTCATAGCAGCAAATATAACCACATATGTTTTTCTTTTAAAAAAATAACAAATAACAGGGAGGGGTGAGACTGCGGTACAATGCTTGTTTAGCATGCATCATCAGGCCCTGGGTTCCATTTTCAGAACCACAAAAATAAATAAATAAGCAAACAATAAATAAATAGCAACAGTGTTGCAATCCTGGAAGACAGCTGTTCATGTTTCCCTTAAGAATTGCATTCTCTCATCTCTCAAAGTCCTATCTTTTGGGGTCACATTGCCCTGTGCTCCTGTCAAGCTGATCTGGCATGTGGCCTCCATGCCTGAAGCCCAGAAAGCCTAGTGTTTCAAAGTAGGGAACGGGTGGATTCAGACCTCCAGGCTCATTGTGGAATAATCACCAGACAGAAGATGAGAAGAGAAAGAGAAAGGTACCATACCTGCACTATGCTAACCACGCTCAGAATCAAGCAGAGGATCCTCAGGGAAAACATCTTCTCCAAAGCTGGGCTGGCCCCTGAGGAGCTCACCAGCTGAAAGAAGCACTGCCTCCACCCGCAGCTCCCAGCCCACTTAAATCTGCAGAAGACTCAGCTGGTCAATCATTACTTCTGTCCTGTTTGTACACTCAAAGCTCACTCTGCAGTCCTTTGCTCCTGCCACCATGCTGCTATCCCAGAAATTCTTGCTCAATCCTTCCCAGTCTGTTTGCTTCCGATAAGCTGTTACAGATGGTACCACTGGATCCTCTTGCCAGCAGTTAGGGCAAAAGCCCACATTCCTGGAACAGGATGACTGAAAATGCAAAGGGAAACACAAGAGAACACACTGATACTTTCATGGCTGAAGGAGTGTGTGGGTGGCTGGAGCAGTCCCACTGTGTCCCGGTGAAGGAGAGATTTCAGCAAGTGACTTTTCCTTGGGAAGGAAGTAAGACTGGGTGATCCGACTTTCAAAATGCAATTTTGTTAACAAGCTGGTCCTGAAGGCCTTTCTATAGCCTTATGCTAAAACTCTTACTCTACCCAAAATGCTTAAGACATCAGTTCCTGGAACTTAACACCATAGCTTCATAAACTTACCTGCACAGTGTCAAAGCTGTTGGATGAGTCACCTTACCACTGTATGCCTTACATTGCTCATTTTTAAAATGGGGATAATGATTACCTACCACATACATTTTTACGAAAAATAATTTAGTGATTCTTGTGAAGTCCTCAGAGAAGTAACTACCACATGGCAAGTACACAATAATTGGTACAATTACGAGAGCTGAAAGTGCTATTGCAAATTCCTTTCCTCTTTCTCTGCCCTTGGATATGCTGATTTACTTTCCTTGCTATGCGTTTCCACTTCAAATTTCTCACTGACTCAGTGGAAAAACCATATGACCAAGAAATTCCATGTCTAAGTATGTTCCCCCAACATAAAATCAGGATCTTGAGGAGACATTTACATTCCCATGTTCACTGAAGCAAAGCCAAGATGTGGAAGCAGCCTGAATGTTCCTTGATGGATAAGGAGATAAAGAAGACACAGACACACAATGGGTTGTTATTTAGTTTACTAAAACGTAAAATCCTGCCATTTGTGGCCACATAGATTAACCTGCAGACGTTACGGTAAATGCAAAAAGCCAGACGTAGAAGGATAAATGCCACATAACTTCACTTATATGTGGAATATAAAACAGGTAAATTCACAGAAGGAAAATGGGGAACTGCAGGGAGAAGGTGGGTGGGAGGATGGGGGCGCAGTGACTGAGGGTGTGGAGTTCTAGTTATACGGGATGAATAAGTGGGCAATACTGCATTTCCTGCTTGAAATCTGCTAAGAGGGCAGATTTTTAATTTTATCACTGTAAAAAAAATAGACACATATATTTGAAAAACGACATGAGGTGATATATACAAATCAAAAAATGTATGCATCATGTAAAGAAAACTTGTGTAAATATTTTAATACTGAGTTTATTGAGACATCATGAGTTTAATACAAGTTACATTGGCATCTGCTCAGCATTGCAACTGTGAGCTTCCAGACATTTATTAGTACAGCAAACTGCTGAAGAGCATATACATTATTTTGGTAGACCCTGTATATGCGAATCAGTAGTGATAATTTTGTTACAGGACTTCCAGGATGGTGTCTCATGGTGACAAAGAATAAAATGGCAGATGGAGGAAGTAGGGCACAAACACATTTATTTAAAATACATAAAGGCAAAAACGTAAAAGTTACAAAGGTAAGGAAGGAAAGTTCTCCCTAGCTGGGAGAGGGTTCTGAGTGAGACCCCTTGAGGGCTACTCATCCAGGAGTTTTTAAGGGATTTAAAAGTGAGCTCACACCATTGTATGAGCAACATAATCTCTATCCTATGGAAGACTGCATATTTTTTAGAGTCCAGTCTATGTAATGTTCACACAGTGTCCTTGAAGTGTCCCTGTGCCCGTGAGCCAATCGCCTGCCTGACCATGTGATGGGAAAGTCCAGACAGCTGCAGGATGCCTGGACGATGTTTCTGCACAATCTCCAGAGGGCCATGAGTTTGGACTTTCCGACTGTCCTTATTACCTAATAAAATCCTAACACTTGTCTAACGAACTCTTGTTACAATTTCACAGTGTACGTGTGTTTCAAAACATGTCATACACCTTAAATACACACAGCGTTTTATGATGCTAGAGACTGAACTCAGTAGCTTGACAATAAGCTATATCCTCAGCCTTTTAAAAAACAAACAACAGCAGAAAAGCCTTTCATTTTTCAGACAGATCTCACTAACTTTCCAAAGATGGACTTGAACTTCTAAACTTCCCATCTCGGCCTCACAGAATGTTAGGATTACAGACGTGCGCCACCACACTTGGCCAATTGCTGCTGTTTATATTTCAATGAAACTAAAAACAATTGCCATTGATTTGCCAAATTTAGTGAATGAAAATACAAGATGTCTAGTTAAATCAATTTTAGAAAAGCAAACACTGTGTTTTAGTGTAAGTATATCTTATATAATATTTTGGATGTGCTTATACTAAATTATTGGTAGTATTGTGTCTCTTAAATTCAGGCTTAATAGGGTATTCCCTAATTTATCTGGTCCTTAGTCCTAGCTTTGCTCCAATTTTACTTCCTATGTGAAACCCGTATTGATAATAACAGCTAGTATGTACAGGATATTTAAATGCTGATCACTTTACTATACCTTTTACTGGGTACCTGATTCAATCTCTTTAAGTAAAAGCAATCTCCTGTTCTCCTAGGTGCTCTTCCCTAGACTCTCTCCCACTGGTAGATTCCATCACTGTGGGAATATTGTTCATTTCCTCTGCTGGATCAAAACCTCGAAAATTGGCATATTTCATTGCATTTATTGATTCTCCAGAAGGTATGGGTCCATTCTGAGTAAAAAAGCATTCATTCATGTGTTCCACTGTTGCCAATTTGACCTGCAACAGGCACAAGGAGACTTAGAAATGGATCCAGCCAGTAGGGCAGGGCGGTGACCTCCTAATCTGTGGAAGGTTCCTTTTCAGTCCTCTGGAATTTCTGAGGCAACAGTAACTGGGATTTCTAAAGACAGTTACAGAGCTCAGAGGGAGCCCTAGGGTCACATCAAGGTACTGTGGGGACCTAGATTACAGTCACGCACAACTGCTCTTCCAGACAAACACTAGGAGGGGACAGCAAGGCCAGCATGGACCTCAGGTGTTTCCCTAGGTCCACAGGAAATCTCTGGTGGGGAAATGGACAGGATGCAGCAAAAAAGTTCCCAGAGAGTAACCTGGAGGACTTCAAGTAAATTGATGGAGCATAACTTCAATGAAAGTAGACCAGTGAAAGTCACACTTCCAGTGTCCTGTTCAGGCACTGTGTGGAGGATGCCCCAGGGCTTCCTCCTCCATGCTGCAGGGTTTCCTCAAGGCCTCACACCCCTTCATTCACCTAAAACTCTGTGCAAGGAACATCTCCGCAGAGAGGCGACCTCTCACCCACCGGTGATGCCTGACACCTTAGCCCTTCTTTGTCTTTCTCCACCTCCTTGATCTCTGATCAACAGTGCAGCAGTGCAGGATGGTATCTGGGGAACTGGCTTCATGGAGTGGAAGAGCAAGATTCAGCTAAGTCATACGGTCAAGCTATTTAACTTCTGCGAGCTGGCTTACTTCTTTGCAAAATGGAATGATTATATTTATTTGGCAAGATTGTTGGATCATATAAAATTATGAGGCTTATATAAATGATATGTATCAAATGTTGGAATACACAGTAGAGCCCCTAGAAAAAAACCTTTTATGGTCCATAAAGGTCCCAATGTATCATAGTACAAAGATAACTTGATTTATCTCATGTTTGAGTTTCTCACCCTGAATTTTGTGGGTATCCTTGGTCTGGCCCCAAGGCTGACACCAGACTGGCAACCTCACCCTGTGAACATATTACCTTGTAAATTGTGGGGAGCGGGTTATGTTTAGGTAGAAATCAATGTAGATTAATAGGCAGCAAATCATACAAGTGTCATTTTAAAAATCATGAGATAATAAGGGTATGTTTTCAGGGGCAAACGTGGAAAATTTTTAAGAAATTTTCAGTGACTTAAAGTATAACTAGTTATTGTCTTTTCCCTAGAAATGATTATACTATTTTCCTTAGCTCTTCTGACAGAAGTTTAGTTACTTACCCTTTTGAAATTCATAAAATATTTCATCAGTTATATGTGTAAGAATCCAGGAATTTACCCATTTGTTATTTCATGGCATCTGGAAGAACTGGAGGAGTTTTTATTTGCGTGGCATATGAAGTATACAGAAATAATAAAAAATCTGTAGCTCTAATTGTGGTTCAGTCTTAATCTATATCTACTAATCACACAAAATGTGTAACCACCGATCATCTAGATGTCTGTCATGGTATAAACACAACTTAAAAATACAAAGCAAAACAAAAACTCAAAACAGTGCTTTCATTCAAATAAAGTGTTTGTTCTTCCCTGGACTATTGCCAGTGAAAGCAGGAAACACTTCATTTTCTCCCCAATTTATTTTAATTACATCAATTTTTGAGAGGAGTTTATTCGTCTATTTATTAGTTTAAATTTAAGAATCATCTATTGTGTGTTATTTGTTCAGTCTGCTATGCTATATTTCATATAGAAAAACAAAAAGTGTAACTTCACTTAAAGTGGTGAGCAAGTCACATAAATGTGCAACTAGGAATTTGGTTAAAACATAAAATTGTCTATTTTGGCATTCAAAACAATGAGTAGCTGTAATTTTATGTAGTTTAACACAAAAGTAGAAAAATGTCAGATACATTCGAGTACTCTCAGAGCACAGAGCAGAAACTGATGCATTGTTTCTGCATGCTTTGGGTTACATTTTGTGTAGAAAATTCCTATAAATGTCAGATTTAGTTCAAGTCTCAAAATGTAAGATGCATCTAAAAAATTACTCCTGTCAGAAAAACCTACATGAATCTACCTTTACTGCTGTCTTAATGAAAAGATAATGATACTGCAAGAGGAAACACTTTGTTTAAGACATAACTAAATCCTTATGTGGAAAGTCCAAGACTATTTTGTCAACTTCAAAACGCCAATATTTTTAAGACGGTGGAGATTACCTTGC